ATGTGTCTATGTATAAAATATGGGAAGTCACCTTTTCGTGACTCCAGCATGACAAACCCTCGTGAAATTCCTTCCTATTTCCTGAGATGAATTCCCCATTGACTTAAGGACTCCAACAAAGACTTATTGCATGAAAATAACAATGGTGCATCTTGGGCCTCGGAACATGGCTGCCCAGGAAGGCACCTCATGGTGAACCCGGTCACTCATCAACAATGGGACATCCTGCCTTCAGGGAAGATCTGGATGTCCCATCCACCTCATCCATTGTCTTTGTCCCCCTTTGGCTGAAACCAACACACTGATAACATCAATGGATCCCATATCCAAGACTGAAATTTATCAAGGCTGGGCAACCGCGCCAGCCACTTTTTTGCACATTTTGCCCCCTCAAGACAATAACCGGCCAGCTTGAGGAATCCCCGGATTATCGCCGGCCATCGGACAAGCCATTTAGGCACATTTAATCCACTCATTATTCCTCTCGGTTCTTTGTTTCCTGCTTGTACCGCTTCCTCAATTCCCATTGGCTCAGAAGCCAAAGCGGCGCTGGCACTCTGATTGGCTGAGGCAGGCGAGCCTCTCCTCCAGCTGTTAACACCAGCCAATCAGCTCCAAGCCAGCTAGGGAGGCGGGAGCGGGAAATTCAAAGTTGACCGCCCCGTTTTTACTCTATAAAAATGTACTGCAATGTGTTGAATGTATGTCTTCCTGACAAATTATTGCGGTTTGACATCTGTACCAGCTGAGAGGCAATAAAACAACTCGGTGGCTTCTCTTTAACTTTGCTGAGCTTTATTTGGGAAAAATCAAGGAAAATTCTTTTGGGTCTCTCTTTTGCTTGCCAGAGTACTGGACTCTTGTTGGTGGGTCTGTGGGCTCCCCTCTCCTGGGCGGGAGCCTCCAAATTCTAGCTCAATATCAAGGACATGTGCAAATCTGGATGGGTTATCAATAAAGTATTATTATTGTTATTATTTTACTACTACTACTACTACTACTATTACTATAAAACTTAGTAAATCCAAACTTGACGAATTGACACCAAATTTGGACGCAATAACACCTATCAGGCCAACAAGTGACCATGACTCATAAAAACCCTGAAAAACACAGCAGAAGACACTTAAAAAGCCAAATAACCAAAACAAAACATTACAACGCATGCACAAAACCATATATATGCAAACACACATATATACACATATATACAAATATACAAATATACATACATACATACATACATACATATATATCTATATAAATAAAAATGTAATGTTAGTTCGTGCTACCATCAGAACTCAAAAACCACTGGGGGAATTGACACCAAATTTGGACACAAGACACCTAACAGTCCAATTTATGTCCTCCACTCAAAAAAATTGATTTTGTCATTTGGGAATTGTCGTTGCTGGGATTTATAGTTTACCTACAATCAAAGAGCATTCTGAACTCCACCAATGATGGAATTGGGCCAAACTTAGCACACAGGGCTCCCATGACCAACAGAAAAAACTGGAAGGGTTTGGTGGGCATTGACCTTGAGTTTGGGAATTATAGTTCACCCACATCCAGAGAGCACTGTGGACTCAAACAATGATGGATCTGGACCAAACTTGGCACAAATATTCCATATGCCCAAATATGAACACAGATGGAGTTTAAGGGAAATAGACCTTGACATTTGGGAGTTGTAGTTACTGGGATTTATAGTTCACTACAATTAAAGAGCATTCTGAAACCCACAAACGACAGAAATGGGGCAAACTTCCACACAGAACCCCCATGACCAACAGAAAATACTTAAGGCCATCCAGTCCAACTCTCTTCACCAGGGCAAGAAAATGTAATCAGAGCCCTCCTGACAAAGAACCATCCAGCCATAGAGTTAGAGATAGACACAGATATAGTATCATAGATTTGAAAGAGACCCTTAAAGAAGGACTATGATATGTTGCATGTTCCAGGGTGGGCAACCAGACACTCTCCACATCAACACTGACAAAGTAACAGCAAGAAATACTGTTTACTCACAAGCATAAAGGAATTACATATATTAGAAACCAACACTTTCTCATTACTTTATTTTCCAGATCACCAGACTAGGCCACAGCAATGCGTGGCAGGGGACAGCTAGTATATTATATTATTAGCATAGCACAATATTAGTACCATATATTCTCATATTATACTATACCACTATTTGCTAATAGTAATATTACATGTAATATAAAATATATGGTTATATTGTATTACTATTAGTATCATATTGTATTACATTATAACATTATTAATATTATATGTCTATACAATATATTATATTATTAGGACAGCTAAATATTAGTATTACATATTACTATGTTGTACTTGACCACTATACTGTAATATTATCAATAATATTACATGTAATGTGAAATAGATAATGATTTTACTGTATTATTATCACTATTAGATTGTATTACATTATAATGTTATCAATATTATAGGTTTTTTTTTATTTATCGTGTCAGGGGCAACCATACCATTGTATTACATTTCTAACAGAACAAAACAAACACAGAGATTAAAAAAAAACACAGATTTTTCAAACTTGGTAGTTGGTTAAATGTCCTTTGACCAGTATCTGGCCTCTTGGAGTGCCTCTGTGTTGCCGCAAGAAGGTCCTCCGTTGTGCATGTGGCAGGGCTCAGGTTGCATTGCAGCAGGTGGTCTGTGGTTTGCTCTTCTCCACAATCGCACGTCGTGGATTCCACTTTGTGGCCCCATTTCTGAAGATTGGCTCTGCATCTCGTGGTGCCAGAGCGCAGTCTGTTCAGTGCCTTCCAAGTCGCCCAGTCTTCTGTGTGCCCAGGGGGGAGTCTCTCATTGGGTATCAGCCATTGGTTGAGGTTCTGGGTTTGAGCCTGCCACTTTTGGACCCTCGCTTGCTGAGGTGTTCCAGCAAGTGTCTCTGTAGATCTAAGAAAACTATTTCTTGATTTTAGTCGTTGACGTGCTGGCTGATACCCAAAGAGGGGATGAGCTGGAGATGTCTCTGCCTTGGTCCTTTCACTATTGGTTGCTACTTCCCGGCGGATGTCAGGTGGTGCAATACTGGGTAGACAGGGTAGTTTCTCCAGCAGACACCCTGTGATAATGCGGCATGTCTAATTAAGAGCCACATCTACTGTTTTAGCGTGGTGAGATGTGTTCCACACTGGGCATGCATACTCAGCAGTAGAGTAGCATAGTGCAAGGGCAGATGTCTTCACTGTGTCTGGTTGTGATCCCCAGGTTGTACCAGTCAGCTTGATATTGTTTCTAGCACCCACTTTTTGCTTTATTTATTTATTTATTTACTTTATTTGTATACCGCTCTTCTCAGCCCTTAGGCGACTCAGAGCGGTTGACAACAAACAGCAGCAAAGATTCAATGCTAACAACATACAAACCATATAAAAACAGTTAAGGCAGTAATACACTAAGCAGTTAACATCAATAAACATCAATCACACCAATAAGTGACTCATTAGCGTCTCATAACTGAAATCATAATCCAAGTTCGTCATCCGTTAATCCGATTTCCTATTATTCATTGTAATTCATTGCACTGCCTATTCAAACACCTGTTCAAATAACCAAGTTTTTACTTTCTTCCGAAGTGAGGGAGCCGAACTAATATCTGTGGGGAGGGCATTCCACAGCCGAGGGGCCACCACTGAGAGGGGCCATCCCTCGTCCCCGCCAAACGAGCCTGAGTTGCTGGCGGGATCAAGAGTACGGCCTCCCCAGAAGAGCTTAAAGTCCTAGTGGGTTTGTAGGCGGAGATGCGTTTGGATAGGTAACTTGGGCCAGAACTGTTTAGGGTCCAAGTTACCTATGTTGATGTTCAGGCAGTGCTTCTTGTAGGTGAGAGCATGGTCCAGAGTGACTCCCAGGTGTTTGGGTACGCTGCAATGCTCCAGTGGGATTCCTTCCCAGGTAATAATCCTCAGAGCTTGGGATGCTTGTCTGTTCTTGAGGTGAAAAGCACATGTCTGTGTTTTAGATGGGTTGAGGATCAGCTGGTTTTCCCTGTAATAGGCAGTAAGAGCACCTAGAGCAGTGTTTCTCAACCTGGGGGTCGGGAACCCTGAGGGGGTCGCGAGGGGGTGTCAGAGGGGTCGCCAAAGACCATCAGAAAACACAGTATTTTCTGATGATCATGGGGATTCCATGTGGGAAGTTTGAGCCAATTCTATGGTTGGTGGAGTTCAGAATGTTATTTGATTGTAATGAACTATAAATCCCAGCAACTACAACTCCCAAATGTCAAGATCTATTTTCCCCAGACTCCACCAGTGTTCACATTTGGGCATATTGAGTATTCATGCCAAGTTTGGTCCAGATCCACCATTGTTTGAGTCCACAGTGCTCTCTGGATATAGGTGAACTACAACTCCCAAACTCAAGGTCAATGCCCATCAAACCCTTCCAATGTTTTCCATTGGTCATGGGAGCCAAGTTTGGTTTAAATCCTTTGCTGGTGGAGTTCGGAATGCTCTTTGATTATAGGTGAACTATAAATCCTAGCAACTACAACTCCCAAATTACAAAATCAATCCTCCCCCAACCCCACTAGCATTCACATTTGGGTGTATTGGGTATTTGTGCCCAGTTTGGTCCAGTGAATGAAAATGCATCCTGCATATCAGACATTTACATTATGATTCATAACAGTAGTAAAATGACTGTTATGAAGTAGCAATGAAAACAATATTATGGTTGGGGGTCACCACCACATGAGGGACTGTATGAAGGGGTCACGCCATTAGGAAGGTTGAGAACCACTGACCTAGAGCTTCGGAGAGCTTCTGTTCTACCATCTCAAAACTTACAGGTGTGTAAGGTGTCCTAACTAACATCTCTTGCTCTACCTGGAGGGGGCGTGGCAACGAAGCCACGCCCCTCGAAGGGGACTAGGCTTTGAGGGGCGGGGCAAGCGGAGGCCACGCCCTTTCGAGGAAGAGAAGGCGCTGTCCCCGCCCCCGCCCCTTCCACCCGGTCCTTCCCCGCGGAGCGTGGCTCAGTCCCTGGTGCGCAGCAGGAGGGCGATGGCGCTGTCGCGGGTGGAGCGCGTGCTGGTCCTGGCGCTGCGGCTCTTCTCCTTCGCCTACCTGGGCCTGGTCAGCCTGGTCTCGCATGCCTCCGCCGCCCTCGCCTCGCTGGCCTCCGTCTCGGCCTCGCCCCCGCCCTCCAAGGCGGCCCAAGCGCCCCCCACGCCCACCACGCCCTGCAGAGTCCGCCGCGTGGTCCCGCCGACCCAGCACCCGCTCCTCCTCCTCTCCGCCCGGGAGCTGGCCCGCAGGATCCGCCGCAAGGAGGTGGGCCGGTGGGATTTGTAGTTCCCAAGGGGGCCGGGAGGGGGGTTCGCGCTCTGAGTGGGTTGGGGGCGTGCCTCGTCCTGCTGGCCTCACTGTACTTCCTGCAGAACACTAAGAATGCCACCTTAAGAATGCTATCCTAATAATACCACCTTAAGAATGCCACCTTAAGAATGCTATCCTAACAATACCACCTTGGGAATGCTATCCTAAGAATACCACCTTAAGAATGCTATCCTAAGAATACCACCTAGAGAATGCTATCCTAATAATACCACCTTAAGAATGCCACCTTAAGAATGCTATCCTAACAATACTACCTTGAGAATGCTATCCTAACAATACCACCTTAAGAATGCTATCCTAACAATATCACCTTAAGAATGCTATCCTAACAATATCACTTTAAGAATGCTATCCTAACAATACCACCGTAAGAATGCTATCCTAACAATACCACCGTAAGAATGCTATCCTAAGAATATCACCTTAAGAATGCTATCCTAATAATACCACCTTAAGAATGCCACCTTAAGAATGCTATCCTAACAATACCACCTTAAGAATGCTATCCTAAAAATACCACCTTAAGAATGCTATCCTAAGAATACCACCTTAGGAATGCTATCCTAAGAATACCACCTTGAGAATGCTATTCTACAATACCACCTTGAGAATGCTGTCCTAACAATACCACCTTAAGAATGCTATCCTAAGAATACCACCTTAAAAATGCTATCCTAAGAGCACCACCTTAAGAATGCTACCCCAATAATGCCACTTTATCATTCTACTCACACAATACTACCCCAGTAATGCCACCTGAATATTGCCATCTTATATTGCCATCCTAATAATTCCACTTTATAATTCCTCCCTAATAGTTCCATCCTAATAATGCCACTCTAATCATACCGCTTTACAATGCCACCCTAAGCACACCACCTTAAAGATGCCAGCCTAATAATACTATCCTAATAATACCATCTTAATGATGCTGTCCTAATAATGCCACCCTAATAATGCTATTCTAATAATACCATCTTAATGATGCTATCCTAATAATGCCACCTTAAGGATGACACCCCAATAATACTATCCTAATAATACCACCTTCAGGATGCCATATTAATGATGCTATCCTAATAATACCACCTTAATAATGCTATCCTAATAATGCTGTATGTAATATATACCTTGTAAGCCACTCTGAGTCCCCTTCAGGGTGAGAAGGGCAGCATATAAATGTCGTAAATAAATAAATACCATCTTAATGATACCATCCTAATAATGCTACCCTAATGATGCTATCCTAATAATGCCACCTTAAGGATGCCATCCTAATTATGTCATGCTAATAATGCTATCCTAATAATACCACCTTAAGGATGCTACCTTAATAATGCTATCCTAATAATTCTACCTTAAGGATGCCATTCTAATAATGCTATCTTAAAAATACAATCTTAATGATACTATCCTAATAATGCTACCCTAATATTATTATCCTAATAATACCACCTTAATAACGCTATCCTAATAATTCTACCTTAAGGATGCCATTCTAATAATAATATCCTAATAATACCATCTTAATGATACTATCCTAACAATGCCACCTTAAGGATGCCATCCTAATAATAATATCCCAATAATACCACCTTAATAATGCTACCTTTAGGATGCCAGTTTAATAATGTAAACCTAATCCTAATGATACTATCCTAATAATATCACTGTAAGGATGTCACCCTAATATTATCCTAATAATACCACCTTATGGATGCCATCCTAATAATGACACCTTAAGAATGCCTCCCTAATAATGCTATCCTAATAATACCACCTTAAGGATGCCACCCAAATAATGCTATCCTAATAATACCATCCTAATGATGCTATCCTAATAATATCACCTTAAGGATGCCACCCTAGTATTGCTATTTTAATAATACCACCTTAAGGATGCCACCCTAATAATGCTATCCTAATAATACCACCTTAAGGATACCACCCTAATAATAAAAAAATTAAGGTGGTATTGTATTGTCAAAGGCTTTCATGGCCGGAATCACTGGGTTGTTGTAGGTTTTTTCGGGCTATATGGCCATGTTCTAGAGGCATTCTCTCCTGATGTTTCGCCTGCATCTATGGCAAGCATCCTCAGAGGTAGTGAGGATGCTTGCCATAGATACAGGCGAAACGTCAGGAGAGAATGCCTCTAGAGCATGGCCATATAGCCCGAAAAAAACCTACAACAATTAAGGTGGTATTATTAGAATACCATAATTAAGGTGGTATTATTAGGATGCCTGGAGCCCCCGGTGGCGCAGTGGGTTAAAGCCCTGTGCTGGCAGGACTGAAGATCGACAGGTCACAGGTTCGAATCCGGGGAGAGGCGGATGAGCTCCCTCTACCAGCTCCAGCTCCTCATGTGGATGATAAAACACAAGGATGATAAAACATCAAAACATCCGGGCGTCCCCTGGGCAACGTCCTTGCAGACGGCCAATTCTCTCACAACAGGAATGACTTGCAGTTTCTCAGGTTTGCTCCTGACACCAAAAAAATAAATAAATTAGGATGCCATCTTTAAAGTGGTAACCTTAAAGATGCCATCCTAATAATACCAATGGGATTTTGGCCTGCATCAATAGGAGCCTAGTGTCTAGATCTAGGGAAGTAATGCTACCCCTCTATTCTGCTTTGGTTAGACCACACCTGGAATATTGTGTCCAATTTTGGGCACCACAATTCAAGAGAGATATTGACAAGCTGGAATGTGTCCAGAGGAGAGCGACTAAAATGATAAAAGGTCTGGAGAACAAGCCCTATGAGGAGCGGCTTAAGGAGCTGGGCATGTTTAGCCAGAAGAAGAGAAGGCTGAGAGGAGATATGAAAGCCATGTATAAATATGTGAGAGGAAGCCACAGGGAGGAGGGAGCAGGCTTGTTTTCTCCTTCCCTGGAGACTACGACGCAGAACAATGGCTTCAAACTACAAGAGAGGAGATTCCATCTGAACATGAGGAAGAACTTCCTGACTGTGAGAGCCGTTCAGCAGTGGAACTCTCTGCCCCGGAGTGTGGTGGAGGCTCCTTCTTTGGAAGGTTTTAAACAGAGGCTGGATGGCCATCTGTCAGGGGTGATTTGAATGCAATATTCCTGCTTCTTGGCAGAATGGGGTTGGACTGGATGGCCCATGAGGTCTCTTCCAACTCTTTGATTCTATGATTCTACCACCTTAAGGATGCTATCCTAAGAATGCCAACTCAATTATGCTATTTTAGCAATACCACCTTAATTATGCTAGTCTAATAATACCACCTTGATGATGCCACAGAATAATGCCACCCTAATAACGCTGCTGAATAATACCACGCTAATGATGCCACCCTAAAAATAATCTCTGCCCCCTCCGAGCCTCTCATGTTGCCCCAGAGGATTTGGGGTGCACGTGGACACAGTGCAAGGCCCCTAAAATGAATTGAATCATTATTTGGGTTTTTCCTGTTCCCTAAAAAGTGGGCATGCCAGGAGCCGGTGCCCAGCCTGTGCCAGGAGAGAGAGAGAGAGAGAGAACGGCTGCTAGCCTCAGGGATCATAAATAGCCTGCCCTTCCCCTCCGGCCTAATCTGGGATTAAGGAATAAGGCGCAAGGACTGTAAAGTCAGGCTGAATTGCAGGGTGTCACTCTCAGGTACCTGTTTAGGCAGTTTCAGAAATGATGACGCCTCCTGGCAAGTTCCTTAGGTCTACCTGTTTCTCGCTTGGTTAGGAAAGAAGGCCCTTTCCCCTGTTTTCTCAAACTTTGTTGTTAGCTGCCAGCAAATTGACTTTTACCCCTTGTTTTTCGCATTTTCTTCCATGACTTTCCACTAGGCTTGGGTAACCACGGAAAAAATTGGTTCTAAACTCGTTTTGTTTTTAGGGGGCCCTTGCGTTTCGTTTTTTTTTTTTAAGAATTCCGAAATTTTCCTTTAAAATTTTTTGAAGTATACGAAATTTTGTAAAATTACGAATCGATTCGTTAATGGCGGACGCAATTGCGCAATATGCTAAAAAAACCTCCAAATGGGACAGAGGGAACTTCTGAAGCTTCCCTCTCCCTCTGTTGTTGACTGTTGGTGTGTGATAAAACAAACAACTATATTATATTATATTATTATAATATTATTATATTATATTGTTGTATATTATATTATAATATTATATTATTGTATATTATATTATATATATTATATTATTATATTATTATAATATTATATTATTGTATATTATATTATTATAATATATCATATTATATATTATATATTATTATATTATATTACTTTATATTATTATATTATTATATTATATTATATTATAATATTATTATATTATATTATATTATAATATACAATTATAATATACTATAATAATAATATAGTAATATAATATAAAATAAAATAATATAATATAATATGCAATACTATAATATAATAGTATTATAATAATATAATATTATATAATATATAATATATATTATATTATATTATAATAATATTATTATATTATATATTATAATTGTATTTTATATTATATAATATATTATATTATATTTTATACTAGCTGTACCTGGCAACGCATTCCTGTGGCATAGAGTGGCATTATAATATTATATTATTGTATATTATATTATTGTATATTATATTATTATATTATATTATATTATATTATTATATTATTATAATATATTATATTATATATTATATTATAATATTATTATATTATATTATAATATAATATACAATACTATAATATAATAGTATTATAATAATATTATATTATATAATATATAATATATATTATATTATTATAATATAATATTATATATTATATTATAATTGTATTTTATATTATAATATATTATATTATATTATATTATATTATATTTTATACTAGCTGTACCTGGAAACGCATTGCTGTGGCATAGAGTGAGGGTATGAAAAATAAAGTAAT